ACTAAGTTGACTCTGGTATTTTCTTAAGGCATTCCTGATTCATGAAGCTTAATTTTAAAACGTTAATGGTGATTGCAGATATGCAATCATGGTGCAGACATAATTGCTATTAGAGAAGACGTCTGTTTCAATATTGGTAATTATCTGTTGCTGTTTCCTACATTAAATATCAATGTTTCCATTCTGTTTGATTTTATGCCCACTAGACAATTCTCAGTTTTCAGTTGCTCCAGCTAATGGAGAAAGTAGCTTTGTGAATTAGTCACATCAACAGTTAACACTAGAACTGCTCCAAATAAACCTAGAAAATACTGTGGAATAAAGGCTCATTAAAATCACAACATTAGTATGTTGAATAGATTTTTTAACAAGGATGCGTAGGAGCAGACATTACACTAGATACTTATATACATTGAAGTATTAATTTTCACAAGAACCATAGGATAGTCTTACATTATTTACACAGATTCAGAAGAGATTTAGAGACTTTTTTTTCAGTTATCCAAAGTCACAGAGTAAGTAACAGACTTAGCATTTAAAATCAGATATTTTCAGTCATAAAGTTTATTCTATGCCATCTCTTCTATACTGCCTCTAGTGTTACATCTTCATTTTACTGTTGAAGAAATCGATGAAAAATAGATCAATTACTTATCCAAATGTCACACATTAGTGACAGAATTGGACTGGCTCCTGTTTAGAAGTTCTTTACAGCGTATAGTAACTGTCAGTTTCCAACGGGTTCTATGAAGGTACTAGGTTTCGAGGAAAACTCATCTCAGTGAGGCCATTCTCTGATCTTCCAGGACTAAGTAGACATGACGGTGAGGAACCACACTCCAGTCACTGAGTTCCTCCTGATGGGCATCCCGCACACAAACGGGCTGGAAAATGTGCTCTTTGTCTTGTTCCTGGCCTTCTACCTGCTCACTCTGCTGGGGAATCTGCTCATTCTCCTGGCCATCCTCACTTCCTCTAACCTCCACACTCCCATGTATTTCTTCTTGGGAAACTTGTCAGTGTTTGACATATTTTTCCCTTCAGTGAGCTCCCCCAAAATGATGCTCTGCCTGATGGGGCAAAGCAGGACCATCTCCTACCAGGGCTGTGCCTCCCAGCTCTTCTTTTACCATTTCCTGGGTTGCACCGAGTGTTTCCTCTACACCGTGATGGCCTACGACCGCTTTGCTGCCATCTGCCACCCGTTGCGATACACCGTCATCATGAGCCATCGGGTGTGTGCCACCATGACTCTGGGCACTTGGATGGGGGGCTGTCTGCATGCATCTGTCCTCACATTCCTCATCTTTAAGTTGCCCTACTGTGGCCCCAATGAGGTGGATAATTTTTCCTGTGATATTCCAGTGGTGCTGCCCCTGGCCTGTGCGGACACCTCCCTCGCCCAGACGGTGAGTTTCGTCAACGTAGGTGTTGTTGCACTCATGTGTTTTCTTCTTATCCTCACTTCTTATACTCGCATTGTTATCTCTGTATTGAAAATCAGCTCCGCAGAAGGCAGGCGCAGAGCCTTCTCAACCTGCAGTGCCCATCTGACTTCCATCCTGCTATTCTATGGACCAGTGGTCCTCGTTTATCTCCGACCTGCCTCGAGTCCTTGGCTGGATTCTGTGGTTCAGGTGTTGAATAATATTGTTACCCCTTCCCTGAATCCTTTGATATATACCTTGAGAAACAAAGATGTAAAGTTGGCGCTGAGAAAGGCATTAATTCAAGGAGTACGTGATTGTGGAGAGTAAGCTTTACGTCATGACCTGTCTTTACAACTTTGTCTTGTATTTTTTACATGGGGGCAATTAGGCTACGTGAGGTTTGGGATAAATAGGTGAGACTGAATAAATTCTGCGATGATTTATGTCTATCTATTTATACAATTTTTTATTCGACAAACTCCTTTACGGTTCTTACTTTGTGCCAGACACTATTCTATGCACTTTATTAATACTGACATATATAATTATCACACTAATCGTACAAAGTAGATAATATTATTAAACCAGTTTACAGAGGAAGAAATTAAGGTACTGAGAGCCTAAGACACTTCTGCAGTGTAACAGTTAGAAAGTTGCTGAGCTGGGATGTGAATCAAAGGGTCTT